GCGACCCACCACCGCACGCCCGGTGTGAGTTTTAAGCCACCGGGTCCGGGACACAAACCGCGGTCGACTATGTGGGAGTCCAGCGACATAGCCATTACGCTAACTGCTGGTTCCCAGTGATGCCTTAGTTTAACCTCATGTATCTGATTTCCCACTAAACTGTGTGTTCCTTGAAAAGAACTATGTCTTTTTCAATTCTGTAACCCCAAGATCATAGTGCCCGGCCCATAATAAGAGTTCAATAAGTGTTTGTTGGAAGAATAAGCAGAAAGAGGAGGATAAAGAGATACCAGCTGCATAGTGGTTGGGGCCCTGACTACATGGCCGATCACAGTTCGGGTCCTGGACCTGGCGGCTTGCTTCCTCACTTTCCCTTCTCTGCCTGTGTCTCTCTCTGTCAAGTGTGTGTGTCCTGTAACAAATTAAATAATAATAATAAAATAAAATAAATAATTCATTAAAAAAATTTCTTTTTTCCTACAAGGCATGTACACTCACTGGAGAGACAGACAGTGAGAAATCGCCCCTGAGGGTGGATGGCCACGCTGTAATCCTTTCTCCTCCATTCTTCTCTTGGTATTTTGGGCACACATGCCCAGTCTCTGGATCCAGGACTCGAACTGTGGTTGGCCATGTGGGAGTCCAGTGATGTAAATGCTAAGCTATCTGCTGGCCCCAAAATAAATAATTATTTAAAATAAAAAAAAGATATCCCAGCGGTTGAGGCCCACATTATAAAAGCCCTCAGTCCTTGCTATGACTCACATTGTCTTTGAAATAATAGTAAAATGTGACAGCCCTGGCTGAGCATGGCCACCTGGCCGCGGAGGTAGATGGCCCCAACTGTACTGAGGGGATGACTATGGGAGGCCTAAGCATTGGCATGGGTAAGCCACAACATGGGCTGTCTGTCTGGGCAGAGGCTTGGTGGAGGTTATGGACACGTGTGATCACTGCTGGGATCATGATGATGAGATCCCGGAAAGCTTCTTGGAGAAGCCGAGGTCTTAACAGGATGTTGGTAGAAACCATGAGTCACCTAAACACCCCTCGGTCTTTCTCTCCCAGCTTCTCGCATTTCAGGGCTGGTATGTTAATCATGGGTGCTGGCTCCATGGGCTGACTCCTGGCTGGGTGGCCTCCTCCTCCCGGGCATGAGGCTTGTACACCATTCGTGCCTTTAGGAAGTTACTGGAAAGTGGAAGCAAGAATAAACCTGGCAGAGTTGGAGTTGAGAAGCAGATGGCGTGGGGAGTGGGAAGGAAGCGCTCAGAGCGCAGCGGCTCCAGTGAACGCTGCCATCAGTCATCCTCCTGAAGTCAACGCTTTCCCCACGCCAGCCCTGCATCAGAAAGGGCCTTCGGCGTGGACTCCCTCCAGCCTCCGGGGCACCTGCCACCCTCCTGGGCACTTCAGCACCCGATAGAGAGAGTGGGGGCCCTCTAGTTAGCTCCTCCCTTCCCTTCTCCAGATGGGACCACACAGAAGCCACCCAGACAGATGGCTCTGAAACGGAGATGTCTCCTGTTAGCAGAGTCTCTGAGCCTCAGCGATGTCCCAGCAATCGGGCTGCATTAGCGGAAATAGAAGCAAAGTCCTTGCAAACTCCTGGTTGGTTAAATACTAACTTTGGTGTGGCTCACAGATTGCCCACAAATACTGAGAGCATTTGTAAATGTAAATGAATAACCATCTTTGTCTCTAGCCTACAGAGGAAGAAGCCACCTTGGAACAGTACCTTGGAGGAGATTTGAATCTCCACCCACCCACTGGCTCTCCCTTCCGTTCTGACTGGCCGATCAGCACACAGGTGAGTCTCGGACCTCAAACCCTTCACACACCTCCAGGTAACGGTGGGCATTTCAAATGAGACACAGAGGACGCTCTGTTTGAACAAAGGTGTGGTGGAGGGGGCAAAGTGACAGAGCCCCCAGGGGCCATGAGGCAGGTCCAGAGAATCCACATGTACAGAGAGAGAGGACAGACTACCGCCAGGATCCCAGCACGTGACCGTGCATGTGCACCTGATGTTGGTTCGCGGGTCCTTCTTGAGGAGCTCCGTGAGCTACGCAGCGTGCTAGGTGCTGAAGCTCGGGCAGTGTTGGCACGTCAAGAACATTTGGTGAGAACGTGGATTCTTGGCTTTCTAGCACTTTCTATTTCCGAACCACATTCACCTACATCCATGCAAATGTAGCAATGGTCCTATCTCCACACCCGTTTGTGTGTAAACTGTCCTATATGACCTTCCCAGAAAAGCTACAAAGTGCTTCATCAAGTCTGTGCCGTGAGAACTGTGAGAGAGTAAGCCTGTTGTCTCTTTCTGCATTCACTGAGTTCACATCTGTTGACTAATCAGATCCGGGAGAGATCGAAGAGAGAAAAGGAGGGAACAGGACGTAACATAGAAGAGGTGTAGGAGAGGGAGGAGGGGGGATGATCAATTTTGCGATGTATTAAAACACGCGAGAGAGACACTTGACACGTTATGAAAGTACGACGTCAAATACCTCATTTGAAGAAATCCTTCGCTATCTCATTCTACTGTCATTATAAGGTGCCCTGTCCCCGTTTTACAGTTAAAGAAACAGGAATTTGGAGCACTTACATGTCCAAGTTTTCACAGCCACGATGTGAATTCTAGATAAGCCTGATTCTGCAGCTAATGCTCTTAAATACAAAGCTGACCTTGGTGAGCATGTACTATGAGCGAAGTTATCATGCGAAATATTTTTATTCCGCGCTTCCGGTTGCTCTGTGAAATAGGCCCTGCGCTCAGTTCCATCTTCCTGGCAAGGAGACCAAGTTGTAGTGCGGTGGGGTGGCTCTCCCGAGGTCCCATGCTGACCAGTCCTCACAGAACCTGGAACCCTTAGCTTCCGCACTGCACCCCTCCTCTGCATCGCCCCGCGGGCAATCACACTGAGGGGTGATTCCGGGATTCACCCTGGTATTCTGACAATCAGACTCATTCCTGGGAACCCCCAGAGTGACAGGGGTGGGCAACTATGCACGGACTGCTACTGCTTATCATTCCCCTTCTGTCCTCCAGACGGTACATCAGATGTGTGAGTCGATGACTCACTGGCTTGATCTTGGCTCCGTTTCCAAAGCTGGACTGTAGTCTTTGGAACTGTGACCCCCTTCGCTGCTGAGGCTCTGGGCCATCGTGTGCCCATGTTCGCAGCCATGTTTTCTGGCGACCTCCTCGAGTTCCTGTCTCGTGGCTGTTGATCTGATTTGATTAGGGAGAGACTTCTTCCCAGCATCTCTGAGATTCTCTCTCAGCTCCCACATTCAGGCTCCAGCCTTGGCTCTCTCCGGAGACACCAGAGAACCAGAATAACCAGGGTAGGCCCTCTGAGAAGAAAGCAAGGGGAGAGCATCCCCAGAGCCCCCTCCCCACTCCCCCATCCCATCACTGGCCTGCACTCTTGCTAAGCTGTCTCGCACTTTCATTCCCACCGTGCCAGACAGCAAACTTCCTGTGCTCCAAGGATTCTGTGAGTCAGTGCCACCAGCCTCTTTTCCATTCTTGAAAGGGGGTGCTGATTTTCACAGCCCAGTGATGTATTTACGTTTCTTTGAAGCCCAATTGTGAGCTTGTGTTTTTCCTGATAAAGGTATTTAATTCCCCTGGAGTTCACTGACCACCTTTTTTTGTCTAACAATTGTTCTGCAAAAGCTTCGGTAATCCAATCTCCTTGAGGTGGGATGCCAGCCCTGTGAGTGGCGAGTGATATAGTTCTTTTTATAGGAGCTGAGTGAGAAAATAAACAAACACATGTTTTGGAAAAGCAAAGGAAGAAGGAAATGAAACAGCCTGGCGTGAAGCCTGTTCCCTTTCATCATCTCCAGTCTCTCACAGGATCTGCCATTTTGGTTTCCAGCGGGGCACGAGGTAGGTGAGCACCGAAGGGAAGACAGAGGCAGGGAAGGGCAGAGAGGAAGCGCAGAGATCATGGCAAGGTCCTCCCAGAGCCAAGTCAGACCTGGCAAGAAGGTTCAGGACTGGTGGCACCATCCCAACGTTAGGATTCCTCTCTGGAACTTGGCAGTGATGTTTGAGCCGTAATATTGGATTAGAAGTAGGGCACGCACCAGCTCCTATTCTTTAACATTTCTCACCATTTAATAGGATAACAAAGTAGAAAAGGATTATGTTAGACACCCGGCCTGTCGGCTGGTACATTCTAATTGAAACCAAAGTGCCTAGAGCCACTCTCAGTTTCAGAGGGGACCCCGCCCCCGTGGTTCCCCTCATCTCCATCCTTTCCTTCACCTCCATCCCTCTCTGCCTGTGCCATATTCCTCCCGTTCCGTTAGGCACATGAGAAAGGCCACTGATTCAGATCAGAAAAAGAAAGACCACCTCGGAGACGCATGGGGAAGAACATCAGAACTACCGCAATCCATTCCATCTGAGACCCAAGGAAGAAAATGTTCCCGGGGCTCGATTCCTGGTGGAATCAAGGAAGACTTGAAGAAAGAGATTTTTGGCTCATGCCGATCCTGTGCTCTGAGCTCCTCGAGTGGTGAGTTATACACAGTGGTAAGTCTGACGGCTAATTTGCCAGGGATAGATCAGGAAGGGTTGCCTCCCGTTTCAGGCTGGTGCCTTTTACTTGGCTTGGATGGGCTCGCGTGGAATTTTGCTGGGCCAAGAAGCCTTTTAGCCTCTCTGAGTAATGTTTGCTTGGGCTCCAGCCACGGCAGAAATGGGGTCACTGCGCTGCACGGGCACTGGCCACGGTGGCTGGGACACAGCTGAAGGCGTGGCTTTCATGGAGATGTATTTGCAGGGCACCTGCGAGGCCTGACTCCTGGACACAAATGCAGCACCCGTCTTGTTCCCTAGGACGATCCCGGTGGAGGTGGGGGGGACGAGTGAGCGCTGGCTGGTTGGTAGAACAAGGCATCTTCTGAAGTGTTCGGGATCTGGGAAGGATGACTCCTGCTGTTTACTGACTGTCCCTTTGCAACCGTCCAGTTCTCTTCTCTGTGCCAGGAGACATGTGGTCCAGCACTCTGTGGAGAGGGGCCTCCGCTCTGGCTTCACCTTTCCGGTGAGCAGCCTGATTGCTCTGACTCCCATCTGCGTCCCCCTGAGCTCCCCTGTCAGATCAGTCTTCCTCACACTCTGGACACCATCTACACCTCTGTATAAAGGAGGAAGAATGCCCAAAGCTAACTACTACAAAAATTGTAACTTCATTTATCGATTTCGAACTCCCACCTGATTGACGCCATCCATAGAGCCTGTTCAGGTTTAAATTCAGTTACGTTCAGTGTTTTTTCCTAATCCTCCTCCTCACCAGCGAGTATTTCAAGTCAGAGGCTGGGGAAGGGGGCCGTTCTGTATCACTGCATGGAGGTGGGCAGGAGTCTGGTCTTATGCCAGATTTCAATATCCAAAACTTAGATTCCCAGAGGTTCAGATGGCCACACCCTGACATGCCCTTTCTGCCCAGAAGCTTCCTGTCCCCACGAGGGCATCCTTTTATCTGGTTTGCAGACTCAGAGGCCCGGGCCTTATTTTGTTTTCTCACTCTTTAACTCTCATTTTTAATTGTCAGAGGGGACAGGTGCTCGCCAGAGACAGAGAGAGCACGGGTGTGGTCATGTCATAACCTCATCTCTATCCTGTCAGGGTTTGGGGCACATACACATGCACCCCATGTACTTTTCAAGCCACCGGGGTCCAAGAGTCAAATGGCAGTTGACCACGTGAGATCTGACTCCCTTGTCTGCTAGACTACAGGGCAGATCTTCACTCTCTAACTACTTATTTTTAAAGATTTTCCAGGGGGGGAACCAGCAGTTAGCGTAATGGCTATGTCGCTGGACTCCCACATAGTCTACCGCGGTTCGCGTCCCGGACACAGTGGCTTAAAACTCATGCCAGGCGCATATGCGTGCGTGCCCAAGATCCCGAGAGGAGAATGGAGGAGAAGGGATTGCGGCCTGACCGTCCCCTTTGGGGGGTGATTTCTCGCTTTCTGTCTCTATGTCTCTCTCTGTTTGGTGAGCACCCGCGCCCTATAGCGAAAACCTCTCCAAAAAAAAAAATTTTTTTTTCCAGGGGGCTTGTGCGCTCACCAGAAAGAGAGAGACAGAAAGTACCCCCCAGCAGGGTGTGCTCACTCCTCAATTCTTCTCCATTTCTCCATCCGGGTGGGATTTAGGACACCCATGTGCATAAGTCTGGTATGTTCTTCAAGTTGCCAGAGACGGGATTCGAACCTCAGTCAGCCACGTGGGCTCCAGCTCCCAGAACCACCAGGCTAGGGGGTCAGCCCCACTCTCTAATTTCTAGCGTCCACTTTATGCCCGTCTTCCTTCAGATACTAACCTTCTGTATTCCCAGAGAATTAAAAAACCTTGCCTTCTGAGAACACAAGCTCTGCTATAAACTGTAAAAACCTTTTTTGGAGCTTAAAATTTATGATTTGACTTTGTTTCTCCAGGACAGTGACTGTCCTGGGGACCGCTAATGCCACTGAAAGCTTGGAATGCCATCACGCAGCACCTGCTGTCATCACGCCACACCTCCCCTGGGACCTCTGAGTTCACAGTCCGCTCTCCCAGACCCAGGGCGGTGTGCTGGCAGCAAACCAGAACATACGGAGCCGCGCTGGCACACCCCGGGCACCTCCTAGGACGCTGATTTCACTCGGAGTTGGAGGGAAAGGCGGGCGTGCGTCACATAAACATGCCTACACTATGGAGTAAGGTGCGATGTTCACGTATCTTTCTAGGACGAAGCAGAAGACTTTAATTCCAACAGGGTGGGCTGCTTTAGACTCTGTCCCAGATCCCCAGGAACACGCATCAGGTTTCCTCGGTGACAGTCCACACACCTCTACCTGGTTTTCAAAGCGCTCAAACTTCAACCCCATCCTCCTTGCTCAGGTCAAGGTCTCTGCAACATTCCTCAGCTGTGACCCCTAGAGGATTTCAAGGTGTAGGCCACATGTCTGTAAAACCTCCCTGACCAGCCCTCAGACTTTTTTCAAAAAAAGAATGATTTATTTTGGGCCAGCAGGTGGCATAGTAGTGAATATGTTGGACTCCCACACGGCCAACTGCAGTTCAAGTCCTGGCCCTGGCAGCTTGAAACACCCTGGGCGTGTGTGCTTACATGCCCAAAATCCAAAGAGGAGAATGGAGAAGAAAGAATGGCAGTGGGACCCAGGAGGTGATTTCTCACTCTCTGTCTCTGTCTCTCCAGCAAGTGCCAGCATGTGCCCTGTAGCAAAAAATCTCTCTCTCGAAAAAAAATTAATTTCATTTATTATTAATATTTTTAAATTTGACCAGACAGCGAGCATGCGAGAAAGCAAGCCACCGGGTCCAGGACTCGAATCATGGTCACCCACATGGGAGTTCAGAGCCTTAACCACACCACCTGCCCGGCCTCCGTCCTCAGAATAAATCACTTTCCGCTCTGGGTTTTCTAACACAATATCTGTTTTATAGCTCTATTAAAGCACTCGTTCCCCACACCCACAACACAACTGTTGGGGCCTCGCTGCAGGTTCTAAAGCTCTTGAGGAAAGGGCCGCGTCTTATCCCTTTCTGAAACTTCAGAGCCTGGTGCAGAACCTGGTGCCCTGTGGTTTTCAATGTCGGTTGGCTGCAAGGGGCTACGCGAACACTTTCCCCACCAGTGCCTAGGGCTGGGGCTCCCGTGTGGGAGGAAGCACACATGGGTAAGGGCAGAAGTGCTCCTTTGGAGGGTCTTGAGATGCTTGCCCATCGCCCGCTTATTCACTCACATGCCATTTATTTCACTGAATGTGAATGTCAGCTGATGAGCTGGGCGCTGGGATACAGAAAAGAATAAGGCACAGCCCTGCCCTAGGTTGCTCATTGTCTACCGGGGTAAATGTCAACGGACATAAAATTAATGTCCTCTGTGTCGACTTTGGAAGACCTATTCAGCCTCAGGGAGCGCGGGATCCACAGGCAGACCTGCGGCTGGGGACAGCCAGACCTCTCCTTGTGCCTTAGGCCCAGCTTCTGGAATAAATTGGTTTCCATTTCCTTCGTGCCAGGCACGTTGCCGAGCACTCACCATGATTTATTTTGCTCGATCCCCACCGTAGCTGTGGCCATGCTATGATCCCCTCCACTTTCCAGTGAAGAAAACAGAGACATTCCCTCGTGGGCATCGTAAGGAGGCCATGTGTGCAGTGGAGTGCATTTGACTCCATGCCCACGATTCCGAACCCATCAAAACTGCCTCAGGGACAAGAACTACCTGAGGCTGCCAGGACAAGTAGAAATGCAGAGGGTCAGAATTTAGTGAGCTCCATCCTTGGGAGTTAGAGCGGGCTGTCGGGGAGGAGAGGAAAAAAGAGTTCACGGGCTTTGGGTAAGATCTCCAAGGGGAGAGAGAGTAAGTGGAGGTCTCTGAGTGAAACATCAAGGTTCCCATGCGTGATAACTTTGCTCTCCTCCAAAGCTTCCCAACGGAATGAGCGGGCGATATAAACAGCACACCTGAGAACTACGGAAGTACATACGCAGTACACAAGGACATAGGGGTGTGGCTGGTTTTGGGGGACGGGGATGAAAGAAGGACGAAAGGCGGGATGAACTCAGTACTAAGTCTCAAAGGGAAATGAGCTCCAAGAGAGCAAGTGGGACCTGGTTTAAAAGGGAAGAGCAGGGACCAGCAGATGGCGTAGTGCTGGACTCCCACATAGTTGACCACGCTTTGAGTCCCAGACCTGACGACTTAAAACTCACGCCGGGCACATGTGCGTATGTGCCCAAAATCCCAAGAGGAGAACATAGGAGAAGGAATTGTGGCATGGCCATTCCCCCTGGGGATCGCTTTCTGTCTCTCTGGCGACCACAGGCACCCCTATAGCAAAAATCTCTCTCAAAAAAGAAAAAAAAAAAAAAAAGAGGACTTTAAGAAATCCTGGGCCAGTGAGGAGGGGAAAGAGGAGAGGGACTGGAGCTGGCCGGAGCTGGCAGCCTGACCTGTGGGTTAGCAGCAGGAACCTCTGGGTCCCTTGCCCTTGGCCACTCCAGTCACTCCAGCCTCCCTCTCCCCTGCAGCGTCTCTGCATCACGGCTGATGATTGGCTGAGAGACAGAATCACTGATCCAACCGCGAGCACTGGGCGCGAAGGCCTTGGGAAAGTGCAGTAACTGCAAGCAGTTTCCTGAGTTACTTAGCCTGGCCCAGGAGAACACAGGCATTGGTGGTTTTAGGCAGACGGCCGCAGTTTTCACCCCGCATCCTATCAACACTGAGTACCTACTATGTGCCAGGCTTTGAGGAGGAACCTAGGAACGTGGAAGCGAACAAGGCTGGGTCTGGGCCTGCGGCACGGTCAACTAGAGGAGAGCGTGACTTGCCGCATAGTGCACTGAGGGCTCCGTCGGAAGTCACAGAAGGCACCCGGCCCTTTGGGAAGAGGTGGAGGGAGGAGGGGACTAAGGACTTCTAGGAAGGCTGACACTGGGGACATTGCTTCTATTTCGCTCGTCTGTCAAGCGAGGCCTCAAAGTCCTTGGGCTTCGAGTCTGGGTCCAGCTCCCCATTTCCATCTTCACAAACTCCAGAGCAAAATGCGTCTCCTCGTTCCCTCCACATCCCCACCAGCCTCACGTTCACCGTGATCACCGAACACTGCCACGTTCACCGATCAGTGGCCCATTTTCTTTTTTCGATGATTCCAGATACAGTCAGGTTTGAGTTGTTTTCAATCCTTGTGTCTTTCCGTGGGGAGGCGATGGCAGACGAGCATCGTGTTACTCATGCCTTCCCGGGTGCGAACTCTTCACACGATCCAACCCCGAGGCACGACACGGACTGTGCACGATTCTGGTCCTGCCCACTCCCTGGAGCCACCCCACCCTGCCCGCTGCACTGGGCCTCTGCGTGCTTCATCAGGCGCTTTTCACATGTCCTCCTTCTTCCCACGGTCCTCCCTTTTCCAGTCTTGGTATCTTCGAAATCTAGTTCCTTCTATCCGATCCACAAAAAAATCCTGATACTTTTCTCTGTATCTCCCCCATTTTTCTTTCTCTGAACAAATAGTTAGGCTCCTGCGCACTTCATCCCCAGGATTTAATTGCAACTTGGCTAGTACCTAGAACCGTTTGCAATCATTTCAGATACGTTGGTTTTGTTCCCTGATGGTAAGCCTGTAGTATTTTCTTCCTTATTCCCATGAGTGTGAAATGGTGTTCTGGGGTACCTCACTGTCACTCAGCATGTCCCCGTGGATTGGATGGGGGTG